CTAAATGTGCAAATTTGGCCATATTGCTGTTGATCTATGTGTAGTACGTGAGACATCTCTTCCCATTAGTGTGGGCAAGGTACTTGTGGTTGGAGGCCCCTTTCCTACCTGGTCTGGGAGGTCCACACTCACCCTGGTGCCCAGCAGCTTAACCTAGCCAGCTTTCACAGCAGGAAGGAGCTGCCAGCAATCTTGGAGGAATCATGCAATAGATCTCATCTCAGAATTTAAACTGTAAATGTGTTTCTGCAGAAATTAAATTCCAGGTGAGAAAACCCCAAAGCTTTCACCTTTTATTTGGGATAACTGAGAATATGGAAACAGAGTGATTGTAAGGGAAGGATTCAGAAAAATTACAATCAGCTGTTAACCCCTTAATGTTACTGCTCGTCAATGGGAAATAAATACCAGACATTTGTGTCTTTGAAAGCCTCCTCAATGTGATTTGTCTAGAACTGCAAAGCACAAACCAGAAATAAAATTCAGGAATTCTGTAACATCTTATCCTGCCACCAATCACCACAAAACAACTCTCTGCATCTTGATTCAAACAGAGAGTGCCTCATGTTCTTGCTAAGTGAAAAGGGATTGCAGAGGTTCAGAAGCCAACAAATCCAGCTTCCATCAATCTGCTAGAAATGCTGGGGGAAAAAATAAATCTGAAAATTATTTTTTGTAGAGAAATAAATTAATACAGAAGGCTATGGTAATTACAAAATTGTCTTTTAAATGCTAGTTATTTCCCTTTTAAAAATTCTTTAATTTTCACAAACATACATACATGTGGTTATTGTGCTATAAACCAGTTCATCCAGATTTGCTTCTGTTAGCTAGAGTCCATAACTTATGGTGGATCAAAAACGAAAAGCTGGATCCTGTCAATGGACACCAGGCAACTTGCAATTAAAACAGATTTTTGGAATGGACTTTCCTAAGTAACCATGCGCAAACCTCATATTGATTATCCAAGTTCAGTGTTCTCCTTTTCCCAAGGGAAGGAACATAAAAACATGCATTTGTTAACATCAGTCAGAAAGGAAGTGGTAGAAAGAATCTCTCTTAATGCTGTTCTGTCAAATGTTATTTCCCAGCTCTCAGTATATACTGATGTTTGAAGTGAATCTGTGTAAAGGGCACCTTTGCTAAACTTCTCAAAATACCCACCATGTTAATTATTTCTGAACAATAAAATCAAAAGTAGGTAATAAAAGAAATACAAAAACAATGACACCTTCTTTATCTTAATCCATCAGCAGGAGCTCACAAAGCCTACCTGACATTGTATTTGAATTCCACCAGCACCAATGGGAATCTGTAATTCAGAACAAGAGTTTATTTCAATACTACTAATTTCTGGTTCCCTTGTCCAGTTTGACCAGAGAAAATTGGGGAAGCTGTGCAATGGCAATAATAACACATAAGGAAAGAGGATTATCATTACATAGACTTTATCACATTATTTATATCACAGACATAGAAATGCCAAGAAAATATTAACTTCAAACTATTGAGATAGTCTAAGGGTGATCACTCTGAAAAACAGAACACCTTACTTGTGCTACTCATTAATTTATTTGTGTTCATCTTAACAACCATAAAGCAGAAACAAACAGGTCTACTGTGGAGACTCATGCTGTTAATCTGATCAGAAATCCCTGGAAGACACCATGTCATTGGTACATTATCCTCTTGTTCCATACCGTATCTGACAATTTATTGATAATTTACTTCTCTGACTATTTATTATTACTCCTTGGTAGATCATGCACGTTGAACTCCAGTGAACAACAGGCTCCAAAACAGCACACTCCTAAATTTACAGTCTTATGTGCTCTGGTAATAATTGAAATGAGAAGGGACAAAATGTAGAGTATTTTCTGTGAGGGTTCATCTATGTAATAATTCACACAATTGGATTTGTAATCCCACTGACATTGTTATCTCAATAATAAACCAGGTTATATTTTTAGGGAGTGATAGGAGATACTGTGACAATAGTGTATGAAATAGGAGGTATCTATTTGGCATTCAGTACCTGATAATTGCTAATGCTGAGGGTTCGAACAGTTTAATCAATGATTTCTCTTAAAAGAGAGAGAGGAGGAAAAAATCATTAATGAAAGGAGATATATGACTGCCATTGAAGAGCAATTAGGGTCCAGCATTTGGAGAACAGTCAGTGCATTAGGCACTCAAGCATTATTCTTCCCTCTGTACCAGCTTCTACACAATCGTCCTCTCATCTCTAACACATTTTTCACAGCAACAAATTGTCCCTGGCATTGCCCATGTTTCCAGCTAGTGAAGTTCTCTTCTGTTCTACCTCATTCCCTCAGAAGGCATCAGTTTTTTATTTTAAAAATATCAAGTCACCCTATCTCAGCTGCATTATAAACAAAGAGAAACAAAACAACCCAAAGCAGTTTTGTGTCTGTGGAAAAAGAACAAAACACTTCAAACCCAAAGAAGTTTCCAATAAGCCACTCATTGAAATTCAGGAAGAAAAAAACCCAAAGGGTAAAAATACCCCCATGTATCCAAGTTCTCTGAGGCCATTTCCTTCCCTCATCTGTGTTCCATCATCTTCTTCCTTATCCAAAAAAGTTGTGGTGTCCGTGGGAGTATGAAAAAACATTGGTGTGACCACCAGAAGGAACTCTCTGTCTGGCAGCATAAAGCCACGTGTTATACTGTCTCCAGGAACTCAGCCTCGCTTTGACAGTCATAAATATTCTCTGATGAGAAAGCAAAGGGTAGTCATTCATCCAGACAGAATAATACTTTAAAACCTTGAAAAACACACAGGGATCCGTGCTCTGTCATCAGGCAGAACGTAAGATCCATGGGAAGAAACATCTGATTGGCTTTGCATGGCAATTACAGCCTGTGGGACACTCAGTACTACCCACCTCCAATGCTGGGATAATCCAGGCTGTGAAAAGTGCTGGGCCTTGCCCTTTCAAATGTCCCATCCCACATGGTGGTCATTACATTTATATGAGGGCAGGATGAAACTTAAAAACCTTCCCAATTCTTTCCCTTGTTAGAATACTTTCCATCTATTTTTGGTAGCCCCATCCCATGTTTAATATTTATTGGAAGCCAGTCTTCACATTATGCAGGCCTCATTAGGTGTAGTTCCACAGGGTAGCAAACTAAAATACCATATGAGCAAGAGTGATAAGCCTCGACTACATCACTAAATGACACACAGACACATGAAGGCTGAAGGAAACATCCAAGGACAGGATATCTGATAAATGATAGCTAGTGTATACTATTAAAGGGTACCCAGAAAGTTAGGTCACCCTTTCAGATAAGCACTGACTTTGGAAATTTTCAATACTTCACAAAACATTTATGTACATGTTTTTAAAAGAGAAAAATAGAGAAAAGACTCATTACAAATTTAACTGTATGCTGAACCATGTATTCAGAGATCTAAATTCCATGAGAGCATTACCTGACATCTTGTTACGTAAATATTCTGCTTGTGCAAGCAGATCCACAAATGATTATTAATGTAGTCATAGTCTTGCAAAAATTATTGATGAGAAAATTATCTTTACGACCAGCTTTCATTTAGTCAAGGAAATTTATTAAAAAAAAAAAGAAAAAAAAAGATCCAAATGTAAATAAATCACTCTCCTCCCTTGGCCTCCCTTTCCATCTCCCATTGAAGAATATATTTACAATGAATAAATAATAACTTTATACTTACCTGTATGCCTTCTCCTTTTATGTTAGTCTTTTACATTAAATGTAATGTTGGCACTCAAGGTAGGAACAGGTAATAAAACTGACCTGGTTATTAGTCAGTGTCATTTCAGAACTATATTCACATTTCTTCCTTTGAGAATGTAACTGATTGTTGACACAATGGAGGCCAAGCATGCATTTATGGTGCATGATATCATTGTGTGGATAATAGAGGGAGTTTACTTACTCCACAGATGACTGCCACAAGAGAATGTAATTGCTCAATAATGTGTTGATGTACCCATGGGAAGGATTTAAGTCATCTGAGACCTGTATTGGTAACTTGCCAGGGACCCCAGCAGTAAATTTAATTTGCATGAAATGGAGGAATTGTAGCCATCTTCCACAACAAAGATAAACAGAAGAAGGGAGGAGGTCAGGAAGAGCCAAAAAGACACCAAAAATCCAGAAATCAGTTAGACTTTCAGTCATCATAAGTAACTTGGAGGTATAGTACTTAAAATAAATAAAGTTCTCAAGTTTCTGGTTTAAAAGACTAAGAAAACAAACAAACAAACAAAAAACAACAAAAAACACATTAGATTAAAAATAAAGTTTATTTATTTCTTTTAATAGAGGTCCAGGATGTGGAGGGTATTGCCAAATAGCCATAAGCTTTTGGAAAATATAATTTTCCATGAGGAGACATCTATGATGTACTACTTAAAGAAAAAAAAATATTAAAAAAAAAAAAGAAAAGATTTATTAGAAAATTGAATGCAAAGTAAAAGAGACAAAAAGCAGTTACCTGGATGCAGGAAATAAAAGCTCTAAGTGTAGCAAATTTTTAAGAGGAGAAGTCAACACAAGTGCAATGTACTCCAGACCATAAGTCGATCTGCATCAGGGAGAAATTGTTGCACTACCAGCCAAAAGCTTAGAAAAGCACCTGACTGAAAAACTATTTATGGGTGACAAAATCTTTGCACCATTTGCAACATGATTTTTTTTTTTAATGTATCAAGTTAATGCAGAACATCTGACTGATAAAGTACGAGTGAGACAAAAAAAATACACAAAGTAACAGCCAAAGCAGAGTTAAGAGCTCACTGAACATTACAAATCACATAGCATAACAAAGGATCAACCCGATAAATAGGAATATTTTCAACTTATTGAGGTCACAAAGAGTCATAGGGTGAGAATATAGCTTAACAGATGCTCAGTTTAAAGTACTTAACTCCTTCCATTGATTTTGAGAATAATTTCCAAACACTTAAAGTTCAAGTACATTCATCCACTTTTTTTTTTTTTTTTAATGCATGAAGTTCTTGATTAATTAATCTTTGGATGTGTTGAGAAGCATTTTAAGCCAATGGAAATTGCAGCTGTTTTCTGTAATGAAACCCCTAATAATGTAAAGAAACCCTGATGTTATAACAAAGAATGACCCAGAGACCCAGAGAGCCCTCATTGTCTAGGACTAACTTGGAATTTAAAGCCTATCCCAGTGTCTGTCTGGGGTATTATTCCTTGATTTTCAAAACTGGTCTCCACAAGACAGAGCTCAGAGGAACCTACCCCTTCTTAGCATAAAATAGTTAAAACCGCAGCCCCCACTCTAAGTCAAATGATATGATCCAATGAGATACATCACGTTATATGATGTGATGCTCAGATAAGGGCCCAAATGTAACCTACTCCACTGAATAATAAATCCTGTACTACTGTAGCTAATTTTGGGTTATTTTTTCCAGTGTGTCTTTTCCTCACAGCCCTCACTTTATCCCTTCCCCTCTTCCCCTGATCTGGTTTTTCCTATTTTCAAACATGGTTTAGAAAACTGCCCAATGGCAGGTGGGCAGAGTCACTCCAGATAGCATGTTTATTGGTAGCCCAGCAGTTATTTGTGGTTGGCTTTTTTGGTTGCCCACAGGAATTTCCATGGTGTTGTAAACAGACAGATGTGGGTTCTTTTCTGCTATATAGATCACACCATAGAAAGATATCAAAGGGAAAAAACAGATCTATGAATAATGCACTAGTGGCAGTGTTTGAAGCTCAGAACTTTAAAGACTAGCCTTCAAAGTTATGGTTTTAATTGTTAGGTATGGACACTTAGGCTACTGGATAGTTTTTGAAATCAGAACATCACTGAGAAGTTTTCCAAGTATTTGGAATTCCATACAAATGAGGTGAAAGTGGGTTGAATACCATAACTTCAAAGCTAGTTGTACTCTCACAGCAGTGCCCTAATCCCAGATGTCACTTCTAGTCTTCTCCTAGGTGTCACACTCATTTTTTTTTTATGTTAGTGAAACACCTAAACAAATCTCCCACAATCTTTTGCCATTGTAGTGTTGGCAAACTAAAGAGGAGGTCCTTAAGGGTATGGGTGACAAGGTAGGCTAGCTACTGGTACAGATTAGTAAAGCTCCACTGACCTTAGGCTAGCTCACTTTAGCCAAGAAATGTTACTCCTTTTTCTCTTTTTCATTTTTACTGGTACAATCATGCATAAATTACTTTTTCCATGTGATTTGTGTATGCCACATGCTCATACAACGGGCATATAGTGGCCTTTATTTCCTTGAGGTTAACAAGCAGCACATGATTAAAATCACATTAACTCAACAGTCACTCTTACTCGGGAATTGCCAGTTAATGCTTTTTCCATCATTTACTTTTTTTCAGGAGGGTTTGTATATGTTGGTGTCCTTCAATTTTATTGTATGGCAGGTTACAGCAGAGCTTTGATTCATAGCCAGACATAGACTATTTTAAGCAGAAGGAAAAATGAATCTCAGTTTTATTAGCATTGTACTGTCATCTTGCGGTCACAATGCTTGGTTCCTAACCCTTATTTGGAAATGCCTTGAACAAGAATTCAATGTGAGCAGGAAGAAATAGTGATTGCCTCACTCCTGGGGCTTTAGTTTGTTTGAAGGCCTTCTTCCTGCCGCTCTTGTGATGAGAGAGACCTTGCCAACTTGTTTCCACTTCATTTCTCTCCATCTCCTTCATGAGAGGACAACATGACTTCCTCCATCATTATTTAGAAGACTCCATCTCCTCAGGCCTCCAGCACTATAAACACTTAGACTAAGAGAGATTTTCAGTGCAGTGCTGTGTACAGCTCTCCTTCCTTGCATAAGCTTTAAGGGTGGAATGCTCTACTTCTGTCAGCTACTGATATGCATCCATTTCACAACTCAGAAAAATCATTCCAAATATCTTTTGGCTTAATTAACTTTTTCCATATTGCAAATAGCAACCTTTTTTTGCTTTATCTTGACTGCTCAAGATACCAGCCAATGCAGGATTCTCCCAGTAGCCTCTTCCATTCAGCTCAAGAGTGAATTTCCTGGGCTTTATTAAAACAAGAAGAGAAAGCCCTGAGCTAGGCTGCCCTTCAACTCCAATTGTGCTGCTCCCAAGCTAATGCATTGCTTTCCCACCTGCCTCCTTGCATCCCCATGCAGGCTACAAAGCCATATTTCAGAAAGACACGCAATGTACATTCAGTCCCAGTGATGTCTGACACAGTCATCCATCAGTGCATGAACAGAAACAAAGAAACTAGGCTTAACTAGTTACTTGGAAGTGTGTAGCACTACCCTAAATCAGACTCCAAAAGATCCCTGTCCTTCTCTTTTGAAGACAATATATAAATCTCTTCATATACAGATTCTTCATGACTCTTTCACAAATACCAGGAATCAAAAGCTTAAAATCTCCATTTCTTGTTTCTATTAGCAGTCTTCACTTCAGTCATTTCACTCAAGTTAGAGAAAAACACTAGTACAGTCACTACTGTTACCTTCAGTTTCAGCTTTTGTGTTTGGGCTACCAATACTTCAAGAGATTGTTTCTTTTTGCAGAAATAACTGTTAACACTAAAACTTGGGGGAAAATTCACAACCACATTGCTACAGTGCTCAGTTCACTATTCAGGGGGAAAACATTGTATTTTGGTTAGAATTGTGTTACTATTGATACCTTACATGGAATTACAAGTATGCATATTGAATTCCACATTTACATACAGCTTAAAAGGTTGTAAACTATGTTTATTTCAGCTATTTACATATAGAGATTGTCATGATCTTGCAAATGGTTTTCTACAGATAGACTTCTGCATCAATATGTCTGATGCATAATACACATCAATCAACTTAGTACCAGAAGGGGTATCCTCTGTGGGCCCTGGGATCCACTTGTGAACCTATCAGAGTACACATGAGGGTAATACTCTAAAACTTTCTAAAGACAGTATATTCACTGCAAATTTTTTATTATTTTTTTGGCTGTACATATTTTAAAACATTGGAATTACCCACTTTATCCTCACAGCTTCAATATGGCTAAATTTTATTTTGGCTTCAGAACAGAATTGAACTACTTGCAGAGAAAAAAAATATGTAAAAACGCTTCAGAAAAAGATGACTGCAAAATCATGGGGATAGTATGGAAACTTGCAACTGACAGCTCCTACTTGTATGACTGCTGACAGAAAATTGACTGAAATACCAAGAATCCTAATTGTGGTAGACTTCGCACAGATGTTAGGGGACTGATCTCATCAATGAATGATCCAACCACCAGGTATGGAGACGTTAATGAACGCAGGAATTGATAAACTGCAGAGGAAGAGCAAACCAAAAGCAGAATACTGACAAGGCTGACAGACTAATACTGTGGGAGCAGGAAAAGTTTGTCTCCCCAGAGGGACAAAACACACATGCATATGCAACCCAGACAATGTCAAAACCAAGCTTCTGCTACAAGACTCCAATAGCATGGTGCCTTGGCTCTGCTTCAGGAGAGACCAGCTCTAACAGCTGAAGACAGTTCAATGGCTAATTCAGTCCTTTGCCTCACTTACTGATACTGCCAACAAGGCTGCTTATTAGTACTAACTGTGATGGTGGTTTCTGTGATGTGGACAGATGCTTGCGAAAAGCTGGATGGAGACCACCAACTCTCTTCAGACAGGCCACTAAACAGCCATCTGAGGGTAACCACTAGGTCGCTAGCAACTTGGGTTAGATTCAAACTAGTGACTTCGATGTGAAAAGGCTCCATATTCAATTACCAGTCCCCTGAGTCATCCCATCCACCCTTTAGTTATTTCAGAGTGCTTTGGTAAGCAATATCTGAGGACATTACATGTGTTCAAAATGCCAAAAATACACATCTAAGAAGGCAGGGAAAAGATCAGATCATCCAAAAGTAAATTTTCCTTTATTTTGGTCAAAAAGGAATAAATAATTATCCTAATGATTTAGGATATCCTATCTATTATCCTAACACCCTCCACCCTCCCCCCCCTTCCCCCCCCCGCACAATGAAAGGGCTTTTTTTCTCCTCCTTTGCTGCCCCAATTCATTTCTTGCAATTATTACTATACTAAGAAGAGAGAGAGTGTTTTGGGAAAAATATATATTTATTTTACTTATTTTCTAAGTAGTCAAATCAGCAGTAGAAAGAATGGAAATGTACTTGATGTTGGGGGGTATGGGAAGGGATTAAAAAAAGCCCAACACTAAAAACGACAACTCCCAGGGATTCTGCCTAGGGGTTCTCAAACTTGCAGACTTGTTTTAAGAGTGACAGTGCCCTCTGGTACCCCTAGGATATGGTATTTTCAATGCAACTCCAGAGTTCCAGCAATCTATTTTTGTCACCTATCCTGGGATCTGACAATTCTCACCAGGGGCTCAGTTAAATGAGCCTCCAGTTTTTAAACAAAGTGGATTTTAATTCAGAAACACCTGTGGTGAGAGAGCCCACTGGCATTATTAAAAAGCAAATTTGTCACAGTGAACCATGGAGGCAGGGAGAAGGGGGTGAATAAACGGGGAGGGGGTGGAGGGGGGGGATGTCCAAGCATACGTCATACCTGCAGCACAGAGTACCATTCCTTTCATAAAACTCCCTTGAAGATATGTGTAGAATTTGACTGCACCCCATGAAGAGTGTTTTTCCCAACAAGCTGTTCCCAGGGTGTTGAAAAGCTATCATTCATAAAAAATTATTGAGGGGGAAGAAGGTAGCAAAGGGGAGTTCAGAAGGCCAGGGATGCCAATGGAAAACACAGAATGAGACCCGCTGTAAAGCACGCACCTGTTTATGGCCACCATAATAGTTTAACTAGAAAGCTTAAAGTTCCAAATTGTGGGGGGTGGGAGAAGGGAAGAAAGAGAGAAAACATAATGAAAGCTTGTTCTAATATCAAAATACACTTTAACCCATGGAGTGCAGGCTGACAATGGATGGCTGCAATTTAGAAGAAAGCACAGACAATACAAAATACACTTCAGACACTTCTTGGTATCATTAGATAGACATGAGCTCAGGGCACAAATTGGAAGAAGCACCCCTTTATAGAGTATGTGGCTAAAAAAAAAAAGAAAATTTTAAATATTTAGTGTTGGCTGAGACAGCAGTTGCCAATACAGAATAAGTTCCAAGGTCTGTCTAAATGCAGTGGTAACTTCTGTGACAAAGACTTTACAAAGCAGGTAGAAGAGAGTGAAGCATCAGCCACCCTGCAAAGATTTGCACAATATGCAAATGTTTAGAATGACAAAGAATGTGCTGTAACTTTAATGACAGTGTTAGTGAAATCCCTTGGTTATTTGTAATAGCGTTATGCATGCACTCTGTCCTCAGTGAACAATAAAAATGATGTATACAAGCCTGCTGGCCCAGGTGAGAAGACTTGACATTAAGAATGAGATTCTTCACAGGTATTAGTGAGTAAGTATGCTGGTTTCCAAGAGGCAGCTAGGCATTTTCATCCATTATTCCTTTATGAAGTGGTTTTGTCATTTTTACCAAGAGTTAACAAAACTTCTTGAGAACAAATCTCAGAGTAAATTAAGGGAAACCACAGGCAGAGTGAATAGACATATCTTGCATTGAGCAGGGCTTCAATAATTCTTACTCTAAGCCTTTACCTCAGGTATTCTGAGCAAGGCTGGAAGGTGGCTTTTCATGCAGAGATCTTAGTCTTGTTCATAAATGAGCAATTCTGGCGGAACCCATCATGATGGGCCTAGAAAAAGCAGAACATGAGGTTTGCCGCAGGTCTTTGATGAGGAACATAGGGTAATAAAAGACAGTTGTATGTATGCCTCCCAGTTTCTTTTCACTAATGATGCTGTCCCCTTTTTCTTCCCCTTTATGAGTGTGCACACATTAAATTTTTTCTTTTGCTTTTTTCTTACAAATAAGCCTTCTGAACATTGCCTCTAATCAGAAATAGGGACAGTCTATGGTGTGCAGAGGATCCTTTTCACATGACTGTTTCTCTGAACTTATGTTTGTTTTCACTCAAAAATGATAGGAAACTTTCAGGTTTAGCATAAATATGTTATGAAAATCACCTGAAATTTAAACAAGACCAAGTTCAACGCAGTGTTTCTTACTAACGAAGCTTCAGTGATGTCTCTAAGACATACAAAGCAGTATCGGTTTTTGGTGTTTGTGATAAAATATTCAGCAAAAAGAAGTTGGGATTAATTTTAAATGCCCTTGATTTCAATGTCTTTACCTTCAGCTTCTTTTACCTTTCCTACAAAAGATGTGAAAAAAATATGAATTGTGATTTAAATATTTTGTTTTCTATTTACATATTTAAAATAAGTAATTATTTTCTGAATTACGTATGACTATTAAACTGTAAGGCTGCAGAAAACACTGAGCCAGACAGCAGAATATCTTTGATTCTAATAAAGCAATAGAAAGACATAGGTAGCTAATCCTGTCCAAAATAAACTTGGTGTGAAAGTAGATATTGCTTTGATCTTAAACTGGAGAGGGAAGGATCTTCCTAAAGGACGCCTTTTGGGTTACAAAAATCTGAAACTGTCAGAGTCTGGAAAGAATGATGCTAAATAACCACACTCTCTGGTTTGTTTTTACGAATGGAATGCTAATGCAGTCCTCTAGTAGTCCTCTCTTGGTTTTGAATTACCAGAACTACTCCCTTTCTCACCCTGTAAGGTCCACTTTTATTTGTTGCTGCAGTCTCCAGTTTGAGTGGTTTCTTACTCCATGTTAGATGGACATCAGCAGGCAGCCCACAGAAAAGTGCAGAGAAGCTCTCAGTTTTTGATTTCTTTTGCCAGCAACACGCTAGTCAGGAGCAATAGCTATTGAAAATGGCCATGACTGGAACAAAGACAATGCAAAAGCAAATTCAGCAAACAGTGGCTTGACTCTCCCAAGTCTCCATTGGGAATGCACGAACTAAAGGTTTTCCAAAGCTTACAATGTGGACAAATTTGAACTGGATTATGACAGAAAGAATATACATAGTCATCATTTATATGAAGAATAGTTAAGTCTTTTAAAAATTTAGGATAAATTTTAAAAATTATATATATTATAGATATTTATATAATATTTATATAATATTTTATATAAAATTAAAATTTATATATAATTTATATATATATAAATATTTATTATATATAAAATTTATATATATATAATTTATATATAATTTAAATTATAATTAAATTATAATTATAATTTATACAATTAAAATTTATATAATATTTATATTTATTATATATATTGTATATATATTATATATATATATATGAGAATATATATATATATATATAAATGAGAAGCTAATGCTTTATATATATATATATATAAATAAAGCATTAGCTTCTCATTTTCATAAATTACTGCATCTTATCGGAAATCACCATAAGAGAAAGTTCCTGTAAAGAAACTAATTAACCCTGAAGAGGCATGGAAGATTTCCACTTGAAAAGTTACAATTTCGCCAAGCAACAAGCAACTGGAAATGGATCTCAACATGGAAAACATTATTTAACCCTAAAGAGGGACACTGCTTACAGGTCTGCCCATAAACAGCAATCACAACCTAAATATCTTCCACATGTAACAGAATAAGAAACACTTGTTTGGGGGGTATACTCTAAGAACAGTGCACACACACTTTTATCCCGCTGTGACTTCAACATACTGCAAAGCATCCCAGAAAGAAATCAGGAGAAGGAGGCAGTCCACCTAAGAAACTTACTTCTTTCTTTAATGATGCCAGTGACTTGTCAGTCTCCGCACCCGAGCAGCAAGGCACAAGGGTCCAGCACCTTGGACAGCTCTGCCGGGCCTCCACATGAGTGAGGCATGGAGGCCTTGGAGGCTTTGCCCACCACTGCACTTCTGGGCCTCCCCTTGCCTGGCCCAGCAGCTCTCCAGTACCAAAATGGTGCACACTGCAGAAGTAAACCATGGTGATTTTAAGGAGGAAGCCAAAAGGGAAGGGAAAATGGCCGCTTTTGCATTACTTCACAGTTTCTCACCCCTCTCTGCTAACAACATTTACTATGAAGAAGTTTATTTACTGTACTGTAAGAAGACAGCAAATTCTAAGATTCTAAGTCAACATAAAACAGTGATGCAGATAAGGCTAGGTACAAAGAAACGTTTAAAGTAGTTTTAGGTACAGCCTCATATTTAGATTACTTTTATTTGGAAATAAAGGGGAGAATTTTTGGAGTCTTACTACCCAAACACTTGTATCAACTTCAAAACATAAAATCAATTGTTAAATAAAGATCGTGACAATGGCACTAAGCACCAGGGATTATTTTTTGTTCGTTGCATTTACAAAAGTTTTACAAGTACTTTAGGTAAAACAAACACAACTTACTAGAAGGAGTAAAAATTCAGAACTCTGCAAACATTTAAACTTATTTCTCACAACTGATAAGTAAGCTTTTTAAAAAGCTAATGATGAAAAGCTAACTCCTTATTTGCTTTTAATAAAAAAATGGACCTTAAAAAAAAGATCTGATCATTGTTGTTTGGAAGCACTCGAAAGCAATAAGATGGTCATAAGACTTGATCTGACTGTTCTGCCCCTTTACAAACTCAATAAAGCTTGCTCTTTATGACTGATTGCTGTGCTGTATTAATCCCCTAGCATATAAAACAAGCCTATTGGAGACTTGGACTCCACTGGGGGAGGACAGGGAAGCTGTTGTGTTCTGAGAATTAATCCACCTAGGAAAATCAAAAGCCAGCCTCTCACAATACAGTAATCAGCATGTTCTGTACTGTGAAAGCCCTACGTCTCCCATTTAGAAAATACAACTATTACTGCATTATGCACTGAAACACACAAAACCCTTTTAGTTATTTGTGTTTGTTATTATTTGGTTTATATTTATGGGTTTGTGTGTATTCCTTGGGTGGGTGCACAACCATCAAGTTAAAAAAAAAAAAAAAAAAAAAAAGCTCCCTATTGCTTAAAAGGAAAAAGGGACTCCCACTGCTTTTTCCACAACCCATGTTCTTTCTGGATTTGCTTTGTGAACAGGATTTTAACTCTTTATTACCCTAAGTAAAAGGAAATTCTTTGCATTTTTTTCCTTCACATATGAAGTTCATTTTCTGTTCAGGATAATTACTTTTTCTCACTTTGTTAAATTATCTGAGTTTCCTAACTAGCATTGCTAAAATAAATGTGTATGAGGTTTTATAATTCCTCAGTTGAAAACTGCTTCACTTTATTCTAGGTACTATTATATTTGATGCTCCTTTGTTAATAAAAGCTTCATTCTTTCCTTTTAGACTTGAGAGATGTAGCCTTCCAAATAAAAAGAGTGTGTTTTTATAGTAAAGTTTTTGGAGGGCTTATTTAGATGCTAGAACTATGAATTTTCAATTGTGCTGTGAAGATGAAGATTAAAAACAAAGGAACAAACAAAAACCAGAAAACCATCTGTAAATATTATGTAACATAGTAATTTAAGTGTTAAATTAATTCTGGCTTAACTATAAGAATTAAGGCTTAGGAAAATCATACAGAAACCACAATCTTATAGAGCACATGCTCAGGAAGAACCAAAACCATATCTTTTTCCATTCAGGTAGCAAAAAATACCTGTATAAGAAATAACTTTATAAAGTTAGCATTTAAACACAACCATTTTAAACATCCTCTGAAACGTTCCTGTCAAATCATTATTAAAAAAAAAAAAAAAAAGTGTTTTCTAAAACAACACTTTTCTTTCTTCTCCATTTCTTTTTAATTAGGTTGTCACTAAAAGAAACAAAGCTTAAGAGTCTGTATTCCTATTGCCATTATCCCTTTATACACATTCTTTACTTAATAAAAGGCTAAAGAATTAGCAGTTTTGTATCATTGCCTTGAAAACCAGAAGGTAAAATCCCACTAGATCAATTCCATTCCCATCTGGTCAGTGTGGTATATATTAAAGCCTTATGATTAAATTGAGAAGATCTTAGTAGTCTGGCTACACTCATTACCATACATTTCTTATAGTTCAAGGTACTACATACGTTTTCTAGTTTTGAAGTCAAAAATGGGATTTGAGGAGCTGATGCACATGGCCCAGTGTCTGTTACACGATGTTTAAGGATACTAACTTGTCTTTCTAGTGAGAGAGTGGGATTAAATGACAACAATGTGAACAACTTAACTTTTCTGGGACCTTTCTGTTAGACAGAATCAAAGAAAACCAACTGACAGCAATGGCAAAGATCTAGAAACATTAATCTGCAATTCTTGTTTCGTTTATACATGGAGGATTACATTTCCTGACTACCAGGACAAGGTATGGCACACACAGAGTTAACCTTGACCCCCCCACACCCCACCCAAGACCCCCTCCCCTCTCTCAGCCCCCCTTCTCCCATCCATCTCATTCATGCCACATTCCACAGTGGCAGGGTCCAACAACAATATAGGAGGGTACCCAAAATGAAGAGGCAGGGCCTTCCATTCTTCTGCCTCTCTTGAATTAATTAACTGGAAATGAGTTTTGTCAATGTTTTGGAAAGGCAGAGGGGTGAAAAGAAACTGCTAGAATTAATCACAGTGAGAAACTACCTCTTCAGCAGTCTGCCAGAGTTCAGAAAACCCATGAGAAGTGCAAAATAAAAGGAAAGTGGGCTGACTTACCATCCAAAGGAACAAATAAAATTCAAACAAACACCAATGTCTCCAAAACAGAGACATGCCCCAGTGCAAAGGAATGTAGCATCTGTTGCCGCAACAGCTACAGCCTTGTTTTTAATATACTTGTAATGAAGACTGAAAGGTATCAAGGTAAAACGACATTTTACTAACAATTTAAATTGATGAAGGCATGTTGTTTAATTCACTAAATATTTACGTACATCCAGTGTTCCATTGTTCTTTATATAATATAGCTATTTAAGCACCATGATAGAAGACAAGCAACTTTCATTGTTTTGCCCTGATTCAGCACAGATCTTTTAAACACAGAAGGCAAATTGCAAGACAGATATTTTTGCTATGTTTTTCATGATAGTTTTCTTCACGTTCAGCAATAGGAATTGTAACAACTTAATACTGCATGCATGACATCTTTCTATGAAACGGGAAAGTAATGAAATTTCAATCATCTGAAAAGAAAGATTTTTTCTGTAAGTTAATTTACATTTCTTGACTACCAAGACAAGGTATGGCATACATGTATTTAGCAAAAATACTACTATGCTGTATACTGTAAATCACTATACTGTAAAAATGCACTGTGTATTTAGAAAAAGCATAAGTGTCCTTTTGTTTACAACACTGAAGAAGAATAATTGGTGATTTCTCTGAGAGTGAACAGAATGAATCCAACCGACTGGAAATAAAATTGAAGAAGCCTTGATTGTCTCAGCAGGGAAAATATTTCAAATGAGAAATCTTTTAATGATTTGGCTGTTCTTAATTTTTTGTTCACGAAGGCTTTTTTCTGACAGATCTCAGAAGTAACTTATCATCTTGTTTCTCTACTTCTAAACCCATACGTTCAAGGACTGAATTGTCAGCCAGTCCTTTCTCCTCCATCCGTGCAATAAGCTCTTGGTTTCTCTCATTTTGTTCAGTGAGATTTCGGATAGCGTATACCGCCCACTGGTTCACAACTGTTTCACAAAGTTAAGGATCATTTTTTTTTGTGTGTGTGTGTGTGTGTGTTTGTTTGTTTTTCTTTCTTTTCTTGTAAAGATGAAGCAATGATTTCTTAACATTTCCTCCCAATCCATCCAACACAGAAAAACAGTAGAAATCTAGTGTTTGAAAAAGACACATATAGATTATGACTCTGATCTTGCAAATACTTGCATATGAGATAATTTAAGCTTAAATGAGGTATATCCATTAACTTCAAGCAAATTTACTAGGTTTTATCTTAAATAAAAAAATAAATTAAAAAAACACAGATGAACTGCAGGAATTGAAAGGACATTTTTAAAAAACAGAATTATAGTTAATTGAAATGTTCCAATGATCTTCCTAGTACAATTACGAACAAATAAACAAACAAACAAAAAAAACACATCATTGTACTTACAGTCCTAACACCTCTACACTGCACATTCAAGAACTAGCAAAATAAGCTGTAAATCAGGTACAAGAAAGATGACTACTTTCACCATAAAAGTTGAAATGTGGGAAAAGATAAAGAAATGTTAACAAAAAAAAATATTAACCTCTAATACTATCTATGTTCAGTTCTTTGTTTCTGGGTACTTCTACAAACTCGCCAACAAAAAAGACACTATGATCACCAACAGGTAGCTCCTACTCACGTTTAAATGGGCACAAGCTGCAACTTATTCACAACTTATTCACCTTCTAAGGTGGTCCCTTGAGGCCAGGATTGAGGCACATGTCAGGGCCATAGACAAAGGATTTAAATTCCCAGGATTATCAGTCGGGCATCTTCCAAGTGAACTACAGTGTTCATTTTATGAAGTGTCAGAGATCTTAGCTCCAATTCTGCAGCTGAAAAGCTATGTGATGATATAATCTTTTCCAAGTTACCCATATGGGAGGCAAGCCATTCTGAATCACACGAAAGTGGTTTGCCTGCAGGGCACCAATTATTCACTACATGTAGCTTCACATCCAGTAGAAGAATATGCTTAATTTACTCATCTCCTTGACGTCTTTTGGGTTGGACAGTGTCTAAGCACAGAGATGAGATAGTGCTCTTATGGGCATTTGCCAGGGGGTGACTGGAGGGGAAAACTCAACAGGGGAAGATGGGAACTTCAGATGAAAGAATAAAATGCATGAATTGGACATTCTTACACAATCTATCATAACATTTGGAAAATCCAGTACCATGGCACCAGCCACTGCACACATTCTTTAAGTAGCAGTCTTATAATTTTGTAAGCGTACCTTGCACTGGCTGCTGTACCTACCTTGCTCCCATCTCCAACTGCCCCCTTAGGTTTACACTCATTCAGCAAAGGCAGTCTGTAATGATAGGCTGTTTGATGCAACAAGCAATGTGAATGAACATCAGCATTTGACAGGAGCAGCTTTCTTAACATGAGACCTTATCCAGCCTTCACAACTTTAATTTTAAGGCAGGAAATGACACAAAGAGAATAAGGAAGACAAAAAAAATAAAAATATGAGACGTAAGCTAACTACAGTGCTACTTAGATACCAAAAGAAAATAGAGAAGGGGCTGAAATAAAAAGCACATATGGAATCCTCAACAGAGAGAGAAAGGTTTAAATTAAGAGTAGCTTGGCCAAATGTCACAGGAAACACACACGCTAGGGAATAATCCTGTATTGTCATGAATCAGTGAAACAGCCTATTATCCTTTAATAGTAGTTTACATTTATTTTCACATTCAAGAAGCTATTTTACATTTACAGTTTACATTTATTTTCACATTCAAGCAGCATTTCACATTCTGAGCCAATTCTGGGCTCAGAATTGGAAATCAAAAGTGGTAAGGGAGTAACAACTGCGGGGCTTTTTACTGACAGTTTTCAGACTGTCAGGAAGCATGCTGCACATCTCCACCATTAAAAAAAAGAAAAAAAATTGCATAAGCTGGATCCAGATGGGACAGTGACAGAGTAGAGAAATTAAGAAAAAAAAATAATATATCACATCAAGCCCAAAAGATGAACATGATAGAGAGAATATCAAGGTATTGTCTTCTGTCCCTGCATCACTACTATGGGTTAGATGAAAAGACAAGTGCCAAAATACATACATGTTATATAAGTTCAATGTTTCTACTAAAGATTACATTTGAGTATATAAACCAACAATAAAATACCAAAAAAAAAAAAAAGTTATCCAGAAGCAGAGTCATATTCAACAGCCCCAAAGGTAAGAATGAATTTTGGAATGCTAAAGTATACCCGATGATGAATGCAGATGAAAGTGCCAGAAAGTAACACGAAGGTCTCCCAGTGAGCTGTGAGAAACATGCTATCACCCCCCTTAGCTCTGCTCCTGGGATGAGGTGCAGATTTCTCCCATGTTTCTAAAACACAACACTGAACTCCACTTGCATAAGAGAACACTTCCCTTAATATAACTAATAATAATTTAAAAAGCAATTTTAAAACAGTTACAGTTTTCAATAATGCAGAGTCACACAGGAAAAAAAAAAAAGTACTTTTTTTTTTGTATTGGCCTTGGGAATAATCCTGTTTCCATCATCTTAATGTTCTTCAACACAAAAACACTGCTAAAATCCACAGCAAATGATGTTTTCCTATTATCATATCCATTCATGCTTACATAATATCTAAGACATCCCCATTATCTTATGAACTCTATCATCATTATGGCATTTATCATTATTGACTACTGTAGCTGAAGCTGCGAAATGTTTTCAATAACGTTTTCACTCATTCAAAAACTCTTTTCTGCATGTAGGTTTTCCATTGCAAATTCAGTCATGAATATGCATGATTTCCCTTGTTCGCATGCTGTGTGAGGCTAAGACCTTTGGATGGCTGTGTGCAGACCTAGACAGACTTAAGTGTCAGCAGAGATTAAAGCTAGTCGCCAGCTAATATTCACATTACCCTCTTGCTCCTCTCCAAAGATAGAGACACAGAAAGAAAATTAAACATATTCTAGAGTCTCTAATCCTACCAACACTTTAAGCACTTTATTGTATGCTCAGCTTTAGAAAGAGAGCTTCTAAAGTTTCCATAGTTACTGCAAATAAGAGCATGAGCCTGTTTGTTGTGAAACTGCATAAAGGAAAAGAACTGCAGCAAGCACAGCAGATCTCATTGGATAGTGTTGTCCAGATTTTTCCAGCAGTATATACTGCAATGTAAAACTAATTATATTATAGACAAGGAAGTGAAAATTACAACTCTGTCACAGTGGAGAGGGCATACAGAAGAAGTTAAAATTTTCATTTCATTTTATAGGAGCTTCACTACTGGACTACTTGTTTTTAGGTAACAAAAGTAAACATCTGTTTTTAGCAACTCTTTTATATTTATAGCAACTCTTTTAAATTTATAGCAACTCTTTTATATTTATAGCAACTATATTACATTTATATTACATTTACAGCAACTCTTTTCCAAAACCATTCTGTAC